AATTTACTATAATTATACATAAACCTCAATACATATAATAACTGTCAAAAGTCAATGCCATGACAGCCACTCACGAAGTTAGCGCAACGAGAGAATCATTCAGCGTCGCGGAAAAGAGGCAACAAAACTTCGAGAGATGCGAGTATCGATGTCATGCCTTTTTTTAGATAGGAAAATTCAAGCATATGGACATGAGCTAACGGTAACCTTTTTTTTTAATATTATTTAATGTACTTTCGGCAAGAGGATCAAGAAAAATAGTATACGACCCATGGCCATAATGTTGGATGCTCTGACATATGTGATATGATGGCCTCGGCTTCGCCTCGGCCATCATATCACATACGCCAGGAAATCCAACTTTCTGGCCTTGGGACGTAATATACTAGTTTAATTAACAGATTTAATTAATAAATTCCTCAGAATCCCCAGTAAAAGCATTGACAATAGCTCTCATTTTCTCCTCGATATCATCGTGTTTCTTAAACTTAAACCAAGCTCGAAGACAGAATTTTAGTATGTAGAGTGTGAATGAATGCAAATTCGAAAATATTTGTAATCATATTCACAAATGTATTCATTCGAATCGCATAGAAAGTATTTATTCAATTTTCCATGGATATAAAAAAAGTAGTATTTGTACTCGTTTTCATATTCATTATTTATTCATTTATTCGAATATTGGATGTATTCGTCGGACACACTATTTGTAGGTCAATTTTATATTTAACATCACCTCAAGCCACACTGTTGAAAATTAAAAACGTCATGAAATTTCATGTACTTTTAAGTTACACAAGTACAGTAAATTTAATGCATCTGTAACTAAAAAGTATATTTGTGAACATGTGCATGAAATTTAGTATACTTTTCCGTAAAATTTCATGGAAAGGTATAAATGTTCATGTGAATGTGCTTAAAATTTAATGCATATGAGCATTAGATTTAAGTTGCAATTTCATTTTCATGAACAACATTAAATGTTTTCAATGCACTTGCTTGAAATTTGTTTTCGTTACATGTACATAAAATTTAATGTTTTTTTTTTAACAGTGCAGTCTTCCATTCAGCTAATAAAACAATTAAGTACCTCGAGATTTAAAACGATCTTAAATATAAAATCCAATCACGAATACTGCCCTACATCTAATTATTTTCATATAGCTTAAGTTCAATTAGCAGATTTTGTCCGTAGAGTAATTATAAGATAACAATTGCGGTCTTTTAATTAATTAATAATTTTAATTTTAATTAATTAATTAATATTTTTAGTTTTAATCTAACGAGATTAATTTTGAGGCAATTTCGTTACTTATTTATAAATAAAATTGTATCACATATAAATCTACGGTCTACACGGAGAGAATTTTTTTTTAAATTTACCCTGCAAATCATGTTAATTATGGGACAATATAGTATTTAGGCAAATTTTACTGTGCACTACAATAAGATTTCGCAGTAAAATTTATTGTAGTGCACAGTAAAATTTACCTAAATACTATATTGTCTCACAATTAACATGATTTTCAGGGTAAATTTTAAAAGAAAATTCTCTCCGTGTACGTTTATATTTCAGCTTGACGTCGGCCCTGCGCGCACGTTCACTTGCTTTCGTGTGAGGGCACACGTACATGCGTGCGTGCGTGCGTGCGTGCGTGCGTATGTGTGTGTGTATGTATGTACACGACTGCGACTGTAACCGCCGTAGGACCGACCGCCCGCCCGCTTGGCGCGCATCTGGCCAAGCTTGTCGATCAGTGACACACCGCGACGCGAAATGAAACGAGCCGGGAGAATGAAATCGAGTTTTCCTCGATAGTGAATGAAATTTTTCCCGCTTTCTGAAAAACGATCGCGCGAAAAAATACGAGTGGACGAAAAGTTCCGGACGGAGCGCGTGCATCGTCGTCGACTTTAACATGGAATTCCTTGTTTCTCTCTGGCAAGAAGTTTACTATACAGTATATATACAGGGTGTCAGGAAATCAACGTATAAAAAAGTTTTTAGGGTAATTGATCCAGAAAATTCTTATTATCTTGAATTATATACGAGCGATGAAAATAATTAATTTATTTTTTACGAAACAATTTAATTCTGTGATTGCGCACAAATAATAAATCATTATTCGTTTAATTTTGCATATAAGAAACAGATTTTATTTGAACAAAATTTTTAGATAGCATCAATTACCAAAATATTTGTAATAACACACTGTAAGAAATTAAAGAAGGAAAATAATATTTAATAAAATGTTTATGTCAATTTGATCAAAAGAATTTAATTGTAAAAATGAAATTTGTTCATGTAATTCTTTTTTCGCATATAAAAAACAGATTTTATTTGAATAAAATTTTTAGACAGCATTTAATTACCAAAATATTTATAATATAATAACACACTGTAAGAAATTAAGGAAGGAAAATAATATTTAATAAAATGTTTATGTCAGTTTGATCAAAAGAATTTAATTGTAAAAATGAAATTTGTACCTGTAATTCTTTTTCTGCATATAAAAAACAGTTTTTATTCGAACAAAATTTTTAGACAGCATTTAATTACCAAAATAAAAAATAAAAAATAAAAATTGTAGTAACACACTGTAAGAAATTAAGAAAGGAAAATAATATTTAATAAAATGTTTATGTCAGTTTGATCAAAAGAATTTAATTGTAAAAATAAAATTTGTAATTCTTTTTTCGCTAATAAAAAAACAGATTTTATTTGGACAGAATTTTTAGACAGCATTCAATTAATATTTGTAATAACACTATATAAGGAAATTAAAAAATCAAGGAAAATAATATTTAATAAAATTTCTATGTAAATTTGATCAAAAGAATTTAATTGTAAAAATAAAATTTGTAATTCTTTTTTCGCATATAAAAAATAGATTTTATTTGAACAAAATTTTTAGACAGCATTTAATTACCAAAATATTTGTAATAACACACTGTAAGAAATTAAGGAAGGAAAATAATATTTAATAAAATGTTTATGTCAGTTTGATCAAAAGAATTTAATTGTAAAAATAAAATTTGTAATTCTTTTTTTGCATATAAAAAACAAATTTTATTTGGACAAAATTTTTAGACAGCTTTCAATTAATATTTGTAATAACACTGTATAAGGAAATTAAAAAATTAAGGAAAATAATATTTAATAAAATTTCTATGTCAATTTTATCAAAAGAATTTAATTGTAAAAATAAAATTTATACCTGTATATAATTCTTTTCTTTCTGTATCTTATACCGAGTGAATCCTACTTATACGCGTGTGTGTGTGTGTGTGTGTGTGT